TTACTGGTCATACCAGTGTGTCTTGCTAGTGTTCTTAGAAATGTACTCATAAAGTGAATTTTAAGATAAAGTGAGTCATACTTTAAGGTCAGAAGAACACTCCTCTCCCCTTCAGAGAAGACTTCAGTGAATCCTTGAAAAGGAAATAATAATTTTTGTAGAAGCCCGAATCAAATCTTGATTGATCTGACTTGTAAGTGTGGAGATGGTTGAATGTCATATTCTTAAAGTGGAACCCAGTGGCCTGGCTAGAGAAGAGATGCATAGGTGGACCCCAGAGATCGAAGCTTGTAGTGCAGTGGAAGGACCAGGCCTAGCTGAATACTGGCTTTGCTGGTGATTGAACATATTTCATTTTCTTCTGTTTTCTTCTCATAGTAGAGGCCATTGTAAGGCCTCTGTTTCCTTTATTTTGGAGCAAGTAGAGGCGTTCAGACCAATGTGAAAGACATCAAGCTACTGGAGGACTAATCAGATCACTGATCATTGGATTTAAGTTAGAAACTTTAAACATGAGTCCCAATCTTATATTCTTTCATGTCATTTATTCTCAGTATATTATTTGTAATCCTAACTATGTTAAACAGCCTTTGACCCTAGGAGTTCAGACTCTTTGAAGATTCTGCAAAGACCCGCTATCCAAGGGAGGAAGTTTTTGTTGAGCCTGTGACTGTGTCAGAGGAATTTCTTGCCTACTTTACGGTGAAGCCACAAACTCTCTTAACTCTTTTAGAGACCCAGAGGACTCCAGTGTTAGAGTCAGCGGATTCTTGGAACAAGTATAATGCATGTCTTGCAGATAGGGAAGAATGATGGTGAAGACACCCAGCTCTTGTGCTAGCCAAGCCCAGGAGCACATTTCCCAGGAGGAGGTGGACAGAGGCCCTTAGTCTGTGCATTGGTTGCCAGCACCCTACCTGACAGACAGCACATGGGGCTTTGCACTTGTTTAGTATCAGTAAACATTACTTTTTTTTTTTTTTTTTTTTTTTTTTTTTTGATGGAACTGGGGATTGAACTCAGACCCTGGCACTTGCCAGGAAGCGCATACTCCACTGACCCATCTCCCTGAGCTGAATAATTTCAAAATTATTCAGCAAATGAAACTTTTCCAGATTTAAAATTGGTCTTTATCGCATATCTGTAAGTTGTTGAGATTTTCCTGAGTGTAGAGATAATTAGTAGATTTAATTGATTAGAAAAGGCTTTGAATTGAGAACTTGGAAAAATCCTAGGTCATTCATGGAAAAGAGAAGACTAAAATGGATAGAAAGCAAAATGTAAGTGAAGGATATTGTCTGATTGCTCCAGAGGACAGGCCGGGATGGCTGTCCCATGGAAGGGTCCCTCCATGGTCAGCGAGGACCCCTTCCCACATACCACGTAAGCGCTCCCATCCTCTTAGGTGTAAAGGAGAAGTTAAGAGTAGATGGTTTTATTTTCCTTCCTCTTTCATTTTATTCTTGCTGGTTAGTGAAGAAATGGTCTTGGATAGGAAAACTACATTAGAATTTTAGTAAGTTGCTTTTTAAAATAAAGTTGTTTCCATGCCACAGACATTTGGAGAGGAGTATGTTTATTGAAATACACTTTTATAGAAAATATTACAGAATCTGTAATTGAAAACTTATGGCAGTATTTTGTGGAGTGAGATGTTCTCAATGTTAATTTGTGGATTTGCTCCGAACTCCCTTCTGCTGTTTTAGAACCATTGGCTGAGTGAACATTTTCCAAGAGTCTTTTCAGATCTAAACTATGTTTCATGGAATGGAGTGTTTGGTGCTTAAATAATGTATAAATCCAGTTGGACAGGAGCTGCCTGTCAGTTTTATTAACTTTGACCTTTTCTCCCATTATAAAGGTGGTTCAGTTAATATTTAATGGGCCCCTTATAGATCTTGACAGTCGGAGCCATGTTCCTGGAAACTGGGATCTGTATATATGATTAACAAATGTCACTTAATCATTATGAGTCAGCTCGCAAGGGCAGATTTTGTTTTGGGAGAAGAAGAATCCTTCCACCTACATGTGCTTGTAGAGCTGCACTATATGTTGAGACCGTCTAGGATGGTAAAGGGCTCGCTGGAACCCTAGGAGGGGAGGCAGCAGTTTGCATGCACTTGTACTGTGTGGACTTTTTTTTATTTGAGCAGATGATCCGAATGATGCCAGGTGGGCCCAATCCCCTGCTGCTGTGCGTCATTAGCAGGACTCTGCCTCTCAGAGAGTCAGGAGGGCTGGAATGGCTGAGCTTGCATGGACGAGGAAGGAGAGCCAAAGGGAGCTGATTCCTTGAGCCAGGAGGGCCCTGCCAAGCTGTCTTCCCTTTAATTCCATAAAGCCCCGTGCATATTGCATTCATTGCAAATTCTGGTGGGGAAGATCGAAACCCAAGCAGCTGACATTTTGAAACATTGTCTTTCAAACTTGTACTGTCCCTTGCTTCCATTGATTTCCCATTTAACAAATCTGTAGGAGAAAACCAAATTTGAGCAAAATTCATTGGTCTAAGATGAGTTGTTAGAGCCAAATTGTGCCCCCCCTTTCCACCCTGAGAAGAGCTCTTTTTCTATTATGAAGGCGATACGTCTTTGTCTTGAGTTGTGCGGACATAGGCTCCCACAGCAAATCGACCAAGTAAGTCAGGAGCCTGTTCAGAAGCAGGGCGGATGCTCCAGACCCAGACATTCCAGTCTTACTGGGTCACTGATTATCTTCATTTTTATAGCCACTTGCAAGGAGCAGATCATTTTAACTGACTTTGTTTTCTTCACTCTCTATTTGTGCCCAGTCCTGTGGCTTTAGGTGAGGCCATTCATTTTTCAGAACCTTACTGCCCTTTGCATCCAGGCCCCGGCTCCTTATATATGGTCGTCACTAGTTTCATTATCACCAGCTATACTGTAGCTGGTTCAGTAAAGAAAATCTATGCTTTGGAAGAACATTCTGAAAAGAAATTACTTCGTGTGTTTAGTTAGTTCTACATGGATTTCTTTTTTTTGGGAGGGGCGGTACCAGGGATTGAAGTCTGGACCTCGTGCTTATAAGGACATAGCTCCCCCCCACCCATTATTGTACCAGTCGCAGTTAAGTAGAAATGAAATAGATTTCTCCACCAGTCCTCCTCAGCGATCCTGTATCCGTTCGGATGCCGTGCTTGCCAGACAGGTGCTTAAGCTGCAAGCTATTTCCCTGGCCCTTGTTTTTTGTTTCTTTGAGGCAGGATCTTGCTATGTGAGCCAGGGATGGCCTTGAGCTCACTTTGTAGCCCAGGCTGCCCTCCAATTCACAGCCATCTTTCTGCGGCAGCCACTTGAATGCTGGGATTATGGGTGTGTGCCACCATGCCCGGCCTGAATGTGTGTGTGGGAGAGGAGGAAATGTTGGATGCTGTAAGTGGGCTCAATCCTCAGCTTGGCCTTTGCACATTTGAGTGTTTTATTTACATCTGCTCAAAATTGGTGCACCCTTCAAGGCTACTTTTATTATGGAGAGATTGATGACAGCTCTTAGATCTGAAGTACAAAAGCATAGGATTAAAATAAGAAGGTAAATGTCATTGTCACATGTTGGGTTGGATATACAGTATAATTTATTTGGCAATGAATGAGAATTGTTAGTTGTTTTTAAGTCAAAGTGGGAGGCTGACTGCATTGGGGCATGAGGGAGGTTTCTACAGTGATGGAAATTTCTCTATCTTGGTTGGAGTGCTGGTCACGTAGATGCATACGTTTTCTCAAAACTTGCCAGACCGTACACTTAGAACATACGCATTGTATTTTATCCAAACTGTAGCTTCAAGTGCGTATTTTAAAGTCTTGTTTGGCTTAGAACTAGGCAGTGTCATTTCTCTTTTCCAACAGAGAAGTTGAAATACTATAGAAGTAAAATGATCTGTCCTAAGTAACTTCAAAGCTCAGCAGTTTGTTCAGGAATAAAGCAAAGGATGCTGGCCTGGAGCCCTTTATAAGGACATACCCCCCCCCCGCCACCCATTATTGTACCAGTCGCAGTTAAGTAGAAATGAAATAGATTTCTCCACCAGTCCTCCTCAGCGATCCTGTATCCATTCGGATGCCTTCTTGTCAGATACGAATGAGCTTGTTCTTAGGTTAGGGCTGACACTTAGACCTTCCTCCTTGAAAAAGCTGGCCCAGTCCTTCTCAGCATTGACTCATGGTGTGTTGGAGTTTGTACAATCAGCTGTGACGTGGTCCTGCTCCTGTATGTAGACTGAGGTCTGTGGGTTTCATTATAAGCAAGACATGACTGTCACAAGAGTTCCCAGAGCTTGGTCTCTACAGAAAGCCTCTGGATTTTTCTTAGAAAAGGACCTTATATTAAAATCATTGGCACAAAACATGAATGATAATGAAAAATGAAGAAAGTAGGCCGGTGTAGTGGTGCACACCTCCATTGTCAAGTTCAAGCCTGTAGAGTGTCTCAAAATATAAACCAAAATAAAAACTGAAAAGGGGCTGGGGATGTAGCCTAGTGGGAGGGCCCTGGGTTCAGTTCCCAGTAATATGAATGGAAAAAAAGATGAAAATCACCCAAATTCTGTTAGTCTTTAGAACCTCTTTTTAAGTGTCGCTGTGCTTATAGCACAGCTGTTTTTATTTTTTATTTATTTTTTTTTGCGGAACCGGGGATTGAACTCAGACACTTGGGCTTGCCAGGCAAGCGCTTATTCTACTGAGCCAACGCCCCGGCCCCAGCACAACTGTTTTTAATTCGACAAAATGACTTACAGTTATTTTCATGCTTGAACCACTTTCTTAGTTCATTGTTGGATTTCCTTGGTGTGTAATACTGTGATGAGCACCCTCGTGTTTCTTTTTATCCACTTACCTCTTTTTGAATCAATTTTTGAAGCGTATTAGTAACTGTATTTGAAGTTACTTAAAACATCGTACCAGGGTAAGGTCACGGAGTCTTGATAGCTGAAGGCTTTTTGTCCTACTTTTACAAATGTCGCCTTCCCCTTTCTTTTCTTGCAGTTGCAGTACCATGCAGGTCTTGCATCCGGCCTTTTAAATCAACAGTCATTGAAGCGCTCTGCAAATCAGATGGGAGTGTCAGCCAAGCGGAGACCAAAGGCTCAGCCCACCACCCTGGTCCTGCCGCCTCAGTGAGTGATGGGTTTGCAACCGCACGTTCGTCCTGGCTAGATGCTTGATCGTTCTTGTTTTGGGCTCATGGAAAGTTGTGTTTCTTTTAAAAATGAATTTAGTGGGAATAAAAACAAAGCGTGATGGGGTCACCATTTACACGCATGTTCATAAGGCAGCTAATATGTTTTGTTTGTGACTTTCCCATGTACTTGGAGTTTTATATATTGCCTAACATAATATTTATCTTGTCACAAATCCAAAGTTGGCAGAACATGAGGTGCTTGTCTGTATTCTACCAGGGCGGCGGCTGAGAATCGCATTTGAAAAGATGTGCATTGTCTGGGAGTGCACTAGCGCTAGCCCCAGGGCGCAGCTTGCTTGCTGCACAGAAGTGGGGATATGTGTTCTCTTCTTTTTCCGACCAGGAGCCATCCCAGATAGGTACAGCATGTGGGTCGCAGAACATACAGCGTGAAGCCTTTGCCTCACACAAGGGCATCTGCTAGCCGCTACTTCCAGAGTCCTGCAAGGCCCCTCGTGTTCCGGTCTGTGCCTGTGCTACCTCCTTCCCTCCCCTTAACAGTATTAGAACTTCTTGAAACAGTATTGCCTGTCCTTGAACTTGATGTAAACCATGTCATTTGTATCAGTTTTTTATTGTTGTTGTCTATTTTTTTATTTGGTTTGTGTTGTGGATTATATTTGGGGCCTTGTACATGCTGAGCACATGCTTGATCTACGGCCCCAGCAAAGTGTATCAGGTTTTTTCCACTCAATATGGTGTATGTTAGGTTTATCCAGGCTGTTTGTTCTTTTTTGTTGCTGTATAATATTTCTTAAAAAATATTTCTTTAACTGTGCCGTAATCGGTACATCGACTCCCTGTTTCGTGTTAGAAGACCCAGTAGGTGTGTGTGAAGACTCATCCGGTGGTATAGAGTGAGAAATGTGAGCCCTGTGGTCCCTGCCGACAGCGTCCCTGTGGCGTGCACACTCCCACAGGCCCTCCTTCCAAGGGCTGCGCCTGGCCTTCAGATACACCGCCTAGCCTGTCCTGCTCTTGTGCTCGTTTTTATTTACAGCTCTGTTTGCAAACTGCGTCTTTATATTACTTGCCCAAAAGAGCATTAGTATGTGAGATCTGATTGTTTCTTTTTGCTGAAGATCTCATTTATTTTATGTGTTTAGCACATATTTGTTGTGCCTGCTACTGTATACACTGGGCAGTTCCAGGCCTCGAGAGTGCAGCCATGAGCACTCCTAAGGCCTGGACACAGACCCAACTTTGTGGCACTTTTGTAGTAGAGGGCAGGCAGGTGGGGATGGGGAACCTAAATAAATTAATACCATATACTCCCCAGTTGTGACGAATGCTGGGAAGTAAATAAGGGGAAGAGGGAGAACTTGCCTCAGTAGAGCAGCAGCAAAAGAGGCCTCTATGAGGAGGTGACTGGAGGCTGTGGGGGAGCCCCAAGGTTTGTTCCTGTGGGCCCTTTCTCCTACTGGTGGTTGCTCTTCTGCCACTGTTTCTGCCAGAGTTCCCTCCCAGCTCACAATTGCTTCACATAGACAAACACAGACAGCTCACCTCCAATGAGTCATTTTTGTATGCTGCATACATGCACAGGCACCATGTTTTTTGAAAAGAAGCGGATTGAGAATCAGACAGCTTCTTAAGGAACACTACTCTGTTGTCATCACAAGCAGATGTGGTGATTCTGTATGCCCCAGCACTCAGCTTTTCCAGTCTGATGGGCCTTGTAGCCTGTCATTGTCCCCGCATGGATTGTCTACTGAGGCAAGATGTTGGGTGAGAAGTGAGAAACTTTCTGATGGTCCTGGAAGACTGGAGCTGAAAGTGTTTGTTGCTAACTCTCTTGACAAGAGTCACTTCTTAGCCCATCTGTTCGCCATGTGTTAATTTGCATTGGCTGGAAACCTGTTTGCAGGTGACAGGCTATTATGAGGCCTTTGTGAAACTGTTCTGGGCATCACGGCGATCAGCAGACTTTGTTCTGGGGCCAAGGGACGAAAGAGAGGTGTTCACCACTGACATTATAAATTTATAATAAATCACTCAGAATACTTAGTTTCAAAGGGGAAAGTGGTTAGTTAGTCCCAAGAATACAACAATCAAATGATTTCCTATATTTAGCAGCTTATTTCCTGCAAAAATTGACTGCTGCATTTTCACATCATTGAGCTTTTTGGGCTCACATTATCCTGGAATCCCCATTAAGAGCTGCTATCTAGGAGGCGGGATCTGTAGCCCATTTTATTGAGTACTTAGGATGTGGCGCTTATTGTTTGGTGTGGACCAGAAGGATGACACAGCTACTGACCTGAGAATATACAAACTTGGTGGAAGTTTTTTTCAAGTTAAGAAATAAAACTAGCAGTAAAACAACAAAGATAACAATAATGTCATCCTGAGAAAGGTACTGTTAAGATTTTGATGGCTATCATTCTTGAGTTTTTTCCCCTGTAGATATGTAATGTATAATTCTTAGAAACAAACTTCTTAAAAAGATTATTGTATAATACTGTTTTGTATTATACTCTACCATTGTTGAAATCAGTTGTTAATGTAAGGCAGCATAATTTGATCTATGGAATTTTGAATTTTCATATTAATAGCGATGTTACTGTTATATTCTATGCCAGCTTCCTAATTATAATTTTTTTTTTCTAAGCATGACATGGCCATAAGTTAAGTTTGTCAGTAAGGAAATCCCTTGAATTTCTTCTAAAATAACCAAATCTCCCAAGGTTGCTGTTAATTAACTATTGCTACAGAACAAGTTGACTGAGTGTTCTTAATAGCATTCTTTCTTAAGGTCTGCGGGTCAGGAACCTGGGAATGGCCTGTCTGGGCAGCTCTGCATCGGTCTCCCGTGAGTTGCAGGGGAAGGTCTGAAGCTCAGCTTCCACTCGCTCGTGGTGCAGCAGGTGGGCTGGTGCTGGCCATGGCAGGAGGCCTGAGATGGCAGTTGGCTGCTCTCAACAGCCTAAGCATGAGAGGCAAGGCTGTCCTTTTGTGACTTGGCCTCAGACAGCACAGTGTCACTTGTACTTACTTCTGAATAGTGGAGGAAGCCAGTAACACACTGCGACTGCTTCCCCATGCATCCCCCATGCCCTGGCTTTGCTCAGCTATAGACCACAGGCATGGCCAGAGTGCAGATTTCTGGGATGTGTTTGTTTTTCAAATGCAGTTGGCTTTAGCTATCTTTGAAGATGCCCATCTCTACCCCCCATTAGAAAGGTCTCAAAAATCAGCAAGAGAAGAAATGGCTGGTGTGACAGCCAGAAAGCTGCAGGAGGAGACTGCTGGATTGGGGTGTGTCACCCTGGCAAGCACCTTCTTTGCTTGGCTGAAGCATCAGTGACCCTGATAAACTCCCTCCTCATTCATCACTTGATGCTGAATCACCCCTGTCCCCATCCCCACCCCGGAGTTCTATAGGGTGAGCAGTATGTGGGATTAATGATTTATATCTTCTCCTTTTCCTTGAGGAGATGAGAACGTTTGTGCTGAAAGATCTTTCACCCATGGTGGGCAGCACGAGCTTCCTTCCATGACTCCCCAGTCTTCCTCTAAGTCTCTAGTAGCACAGATGCCATCTTTTCACAAAGAGGCTGTGTGCCGTTACTGGGTCAGGATTGCTGGCCTTGATCCTTTGGGGATGAGGTCAGCCTAGACAGTGGCCATCTCGTTTGAGCTATTTGTGTGTCTAGTGTTGGTCACTCGAACCTATGCTTGCCCGTGCTTCTGCGTCTTACCAGCAACCTTGACTTTGCAGTGTAATTCTTGGTGTGCTTCTCAGTGAAGATGGGCTTTTGCTTTGATCCGTGTATCCAGGATGAATGGCCTGTGACTCCTGGTCTCAGCAGCTAAGGAGGTTCTGGCCTTCTATGGCAGCAGAGGTAAAAGGTGCTGCACAGCTGAGTCTCGTGGGGGGGGGGGGGATCATTTCAAAATGCTACTCTGTGGCCCTAAGTGGGGCTAGGCAGGTTTTTTGTATCATGTTATCTTCCATGAAAAGGTCCTGCCTGCCAAATTAAGGACACACTTCTTTTCATGGTCTTCCAACTCCGTGGTCCCTGGGGAGGACCGGTCCATGCTGCATTTGTCATCTGGGCCCAGCCCTTGCTTTTCTAAGATGTTTTATCTGCTTTTCGCCCATGCCCCCACCATACCGTGGGTCTCCCTTCTCCTGGATCATTCTCACTAGGAGACAAAGCATGTTTGCAAAAAAAAATCTACCTTTTGTGTGAAAACTCATCTCTCCTCTTGAAAGCAGAACTCTTCCCAAGAGTTGGCTCCTTACTTACAGGTTACCACCCCGGGTAGTCCCCATTGCAGTCTCTATTCCTGTACCTGTATTTTTATCTCTAGGCCTTCACATAAACAGAATCACGTAGTGTTTCTTCCTTACTTCTAGCTTCTTTCACGCAACAGGCTGCTTTTGAATTTCACTTAGGTTGCATGTACCAGTGGCTCGTTCCACTTTGTTACCAGGTAGTATTTTTTCATGTTCCGTGGAGCCTATTGGTAGTGTTTCCTCTACATCCCAGAGCGTTTCAGTGTTGTCCGATGCTTCAAGAAAACACCGTCTTCTCTCCGTACTCTGGTTTCTGGGTGCCCCACCTCACGCTGGAGCGGCAGCACAGCACAGCAAGCATAGACAGCGTGCTGTGACACATGCTGCTGGAGAGACTCATCACCACCTTGCAGGGTAGCAGGGATAAGGACATGGCGCTCACCCCTGGGGTCCCCTTAGCACGACCCCTGCTTCGGCTTCAGGAGTTGAACTGAAAGAGGCACCTCTGCCACCACTGCTTTGCACACTAATTTCTGAGATCGTTGACTTGCAGTCACACGTGCTGCTTGTACAGATGACTGGACTCTTTCCAAGCTGTGTGGGGAGCGCCGCTCTGTTCTGGAAAGGCGGAGGCTTCTGTTATCTTTTGCTTAATGTAAAACTACCAGTAGTCACAGGAGCAGAGCAGCAAC